CCGATGAAGACGCGCCCGTCGGCCATGACGCGGCCGGCGAAGCACTCGTACGAGAGGACGTCACGCCGCTGCGTGTACGTGTACATGACGTCCCCCTCCGACCACGTGCCCAGACACCGGTACTCTCGCGCTCTGGAGACACGAACACCGACGGTCAGTGGCGGTGGTCACGTGACCAGGCAGTGGCGCTTGTGCTCCAGGGACACGGACACCGACGGTCAGTGGCGGTGGTCACGTGACCAGGCAGTGGCGCTTGCGCTCCAGGGACACGGACAACCAGCGGTCAGTGGCGGTAGTCATGTGACAAAGCGCACTATTGTGTTCAAAATTTACGGCCAGTGATGCAAGAACAATAGCACCAAAAAATCATCGCAGGTCATGGTCTGTATTTTAGGTCTATAGCCATTGATATGCATATAAACGTTGCAATTTGTCTCATTAGGGAGATGCATTTCTAAGCTCAAATCATTTATAGTGCTGCTGCAAACACTGAGCAGCACTGGCAAACAGAGAAGAAGCCTTCGCGCAGGACTTCAAAATGGGAGCAATCGTGCGTAAAGAAGCAGTTCGCAGTCCAGGTTTAGCATGCTAGCAATTCAGAGAAGAAACCACCACCAGGAGTTTCATTTCCACTCCGAAAATTAGTTGAAACAGAAGAGAAACATGCACAAGCGTCCGCACTTCCACAGTCCATATCCTTGTATGCGGGGATACTCGAAGCCCAACGCGTTGCGCCAACAGGATACGCTGCGCACCACCGGAGGCCCCACACGTCCGCCTGCCGCTCTAAACCGCGGCCCCCGCCCAGCTGCGGCAGCGAGGTACCGCCTCATCAGTCCGACGGCCTGGCCGCCGCCGCCGCCGCGCACACCCAATTAACATTCCTGCAGAGTCGGCCCAGAGGTCACCAAACACACGTGAAGTATTCCCAACGCAATACTTCAGCGGCGCGCTCCGACCATACGCTGGCAAAAAGTCGCGCACCGCGGCCGCACGGTCTGGGCCGCACGGCGCCGGCGCGCGCCGACGGAAAGCCCGAGCTCGTCACCGCGCCGTTGCTCGCCACCGGAGCGGCCGTTCGTCATCGGAGCGGCCGTTCGCCATCGGAGCGGCCGCCGCTCGCCACCGGAGCGGCTGTTCGCCATCGGAGCGGCCGCCGCTCGCCACCGGAGCGGCCGTTCGTCATCGGAGCGGCCGCCGTTCGCCACCGGAGCGGCCGTTCGTCATCGGAGCGGCCGCCGCTCGCCACCGGAACAATCGGGCGAACGCCGGCAGGAAAGCCGGCTGCTCCGGGAAATGCTTCCACCCGTACGGAGTCAGAAATATCCGAGCATTTCGACGACTTCCTTCCCGATCTGTCATCCAGTGTTCCTTGCAAAGAGATGGCCGATGCCACGCTAGGCTCGATTTACAGAACCCTGTCGGCGAACAGAACTCTGGGGCGCCTACCACCCGAACGAGCTTTTCACAATGTAGCACATAGCATGATCGGAGAAGTCATGGGCAGCTCCTTATCTACCCGAGAATTCCTGACATCTCGCCGGGCCGTATCGGCGTCGTGCTCCGTCGGCTTACCTGCGTCATTTACCTCTCCAGGAACAAAGCAGCCAGACCGGGACAGCCAGCGCCGCGTGCAGCGAGCGGACGTGGGCCCACCCGGCGCACCCTCGTCACCGCCGAGGGACGTCCCCGCCCGCCGTGGGCTGCCGTGACGTCACGGCGGCGTGCGGGCACGCCGAGCAGCTCGTGATTCACACGGGCGCCGGTCCTCACGAGCCGGTGACTATGCTACTTTTACCGCGGCGGTGTGGCGACAGCGGAAGAGAAACGCGTCCCACGGTGTTCCCGCGACGGCAAGGTCGAGGAGGACCGGCGGCCAAAGTTTCGCTCGGGTAAGCGCCGGTAATTGCCGGCTATAACTAATGTCGGCGAAAAGCGGCGCGTTTTAGGAAACCTTCGGAAACCGTGTCATACGGAAACGATAGCTCACTTTTACTGGATGCCCTCTCTGTCTCGGATAATTTGCTCTGTGCAACCGAATCGAATCACTACACATCCTCCCGCATCCTCCGGAAGCATTGCAAGTGCAACCACCGGACAACGCCGCGGCGGTCCACCCCTGCTCAGCCTTAGTGCGCCCCTGGCGGCGGTCCTATAAATGGCATGGCCGGTCACGTGACTGCGGTCAGGCCGGCGCCCGAGGCACCATGTCCGTCGACTGCGGTCGGCCTGGGTCCGGTCTGGACGCGAGGCCCCGCCAATTTGCATCGTTTCACATGCGCCGTGATAATGGTGAGAGGTTGGCATCGACTGAAACTACGTGCCCGCCTGGCGCTGGGAAAATCACCCATCGAACCAGCACGTTCAGCGCGTTAAGTGTGCTAGACGATGAGAAAAAACTCTGGTAACTGCATACTGCGGCGGGCCCTTGAGCTGTGCACTCGGGCCGGAATGAGAGATGGTGACTAACACAGAGGCGCTAGATTGCCAGTGATACTACACCGTCAGTGCGGCGGCGGGTGTCGGAGCTGATAGGCGCTGGCAGCTCCGACAGCCTCTCCGTCCAGTCCATAGCGGCGCGGCCGGCCGACACAGTCCTTCGTCCATCGCCCAACGCGAGGTTTGGCCGGATCCAGGCCGGATCCGGATCCGCGCGGCCGGTGGGAGGAGCCGCGCGCTCCGGATGCGGCTGTGGCGGCCAGGAAGGGCGCGGCGGCCGACCCCGCCCCACGCGACCCCCTCCCCTCGGCGCGCTTCGGCTGCAGACAAAGCGGCAGGCGAGGCTCAGCGCAAGGGTTACGCCTGCCGCGCGGGTCCACCGGCCGCCGGGACCAGCCCTCGATCGGCCCACAACCGCTGGCCAATTTGTCAGCGTTGGGGCATTAGAGGCCGGGCGCCGCGCGCCGCGGCCCGCTCCCTGCGGTCTGCCGCCCGGCCGGGGCTGCGCTGGAGGCTCCGCTGCCGGCTCCGGCGGCCGGGCCCGGCCACGGGCAATTACCGGCTGGTCCCCGAGGATAGTTTGCCATTCACATTGTAATGATGTTTACAGACCATAATTGATTTTCTGACAGCTCTGATCGCATCAGATCTGCATGTTGAGGCAGAAGTGGAACGCTAGGATCGCCCTTTCCGCCACGTTAATCAGAAACGTTCCCGCTATTGAAAAGCTTTGAAATGCGTCATTTCGGATGTGACCCATTTCGCACCAGGTCATTAGAAACCCAGATAATGCACGGGTCCGCATCACAGTCAATTTGAATGTCTGAAGCTGTCGCACCGCGCGACCCACCAGAGGTCGCGCCGAGGGCGTGGCCATATTTAGACTTTAGAGTTCGATTTAAACGTTTATGGTTTTATGCGTGGCGCAGAAGAGCTTTACCACTGAAAAGGCAGAGCTGCGCGGCTGAAGCGATGACATTACATTCAAACTTTGGGATAGGTGTTGCACGAAATCCCAAGTGGGATGGGCTTCATTGAAAAGCGGTGCAATGGTTACGAGGTGGATGTCAGAATCGGTGAAAACGCAACCTCTACCTGCCATGATTACGTCACGCCTGGCCTGCCTTGCGGATCGTGTGTGGTGACCGTGCGGTTCGTGACAGCAAACTGCAGTGCACGGCACGTCTGAGCCAGGCGTGTGGCGTCCGACACGACGCTGCCCAACTGGTGCACGTGGCCACGCAACGCGCTGGGCGCCTGCGCGGAACCCCCCAGCGCACGTGAGCCGTGTCCACACGTGTCGTGCTCGCACGTGCCGCCTTCACAAACGCTTGTGCCGCCGGCGTGAGGTGCGGCGTCGTTCTGCTACCTTCGTGGAAAGCGGCCAGCGACAGAGGCGGCGGCTCGGTGGCCGCGGCGCCGACAGGGACGATCGCCGGCCGGACCGGCCGCTGCGGCGCCGCCCCGTCTCCGTCCACTGCGCCTGGCAGAGGTTGGCCGCCGCTGAACCTGCCCACGAGCCCGGGCCACGGCCGCACCGCCGTCGACACGCCGCCGCCGTCGCCGCCGCTGCTGTCGTTCGGCGTCCGTGCCGGTGGTGCGACGCCGTCCCGGACGGGGTCGCCGCGCCGCGAGTACGCCCACGGGTCGTAGGCAGTAGGCGGGGGCGAGGGCGGGGGCGGGAGCTGGCGACGGCGGCGCGGCCGGATGCCGCCGAACGCCGGCGCCGTGCCTCCAAACCGCGGCCGGCTCGGCAGCGCGGTAAGCACCAGCGGCCGGCGGGCGGGGGCGGGGGCGGGGGGGGGGGTAGGGGGGTCGCCCGCCCGCCGCCCGGATTAGCGGGGGATGCGGTGGGACAGCGCGCGGCGTCCCTGAAAACAGCGACGGTGAGGGAGCCGCGCTGCCACTGCCACAACCAGGGACGGAATGAGTAAGAGGGGGCGAGACGGCACTAGTTGCTGGTTGCGCATGCTAGGGATCCGCAGCCGGGCGCTTTGCTTGCAGCTGTTTTGATCAAAAACTGCTAGAGAGTTGCAGCCAAACGCAAGAGCGTAGGATGGCGCACTGCCGACCAAGCTGCCTTTTCGTCAACCAAAGAGGTCTTCGGTGATTTGACGCTGACCAGATTTGCAATTCCCTAGATTCTAAAAGGAATCTAAAGCAGCTTTCAGCAGGAGCAGTACAAGAAAAGAATTGGAAGAAGCCGCCGTTCGTTTCCCTTTCAGCGCAGACGACGATCGCTGAGATAAGTATTTCGGAGTGTTTTAGGGGTATTTATTCTAGACAATTTATATGACCTTCATGTGATTGCCGCTCGCTCAGCATCGAATAACAAAGGCAGTCGCTGTTAGTCGCAAAGGTCCAGTCGAATGGAGGTGTGCTCCGCGGCCACACGTCTCGCTTAATCTAATGTCTGAAAGTGTCACCACCAAAAGAAATAAGTACTTCACCCACCACACAATCATTCCTCAGACTCAGAACACCAGGTTGAGAGGCAGGAACGTGCTCAAGACAAGACTACAACTTGGTATCTCTTTGGATCTCGTGTCCAAAAAACTCACCTTCATAGATGTCCGAGGCATTCAGGCAGCTGACCACGGTGTAGAACATGATGTCAGGGTTGTTGCAGTCCGAGTAGAGCTTGGCACAGAGCTGGCCGTCCGTGTTGGGGATGATGCCCTCGTACTCTCCGGCCACGGGACAGGAGGCTTCCTGAAGAATCCGCTTCCCTGTAGAAGCACATCTGACCTCAGTATTGTCCACGTGCGGGGAGTACGTAGAACCCAGGACGATAACCTCAGGTAGAGTTGCGGTTACCAAGCGGGGATATGACGTGGCGTCCGGCGAGCATGGTGCAGACTGGTGCGGAAGGCATCGCCACAGAGCAAGACAGCATTATGCTGTGCTGAGTCGGACGGGTGCGAACACTCCCCGAGCTTTTTAGATCTGGGACGGAGAGATCTCAATCAAGCGGAAGGCTGAACACTGTCGTCGCCGGGCAACAAGCAGAAAGTCGGAAATCTACGGCTTCTCGTGCTCAGGTACCGGCTAGAAATCCCACTTTTTGCCCGCGTAGATACGCTAACAGGGGACATTTTCAGCCCGCTCGGCTCATGAAATTGCTCCTTTTTGTCATTAGCAGATCGTATCACTTTCGGCCCGATACGATCTTCCCTAATGACGGGAAAACGTTGCGCTACAATCCGCGGCCTCGCCCGTCCGGCTTGACTTTGAGCACACCACGTCTGCACCCGTCTCGGAGATCCCAGGAACTGGGGTTGGGCAGGACCGGGCGGGGGAAAGCGGGATGTCGGCCCTGGTGTGGGTGGTCCCTGCTCGAAACCCAACGCTATCTCGTGCTGTGCCTCCAGCAACGACCGCCGCTTCACCCACTACGCAGTGAGGCACAGAACGTGCTCACTGCGGAGGATCTGCGGGCTCGATTTGCCCCCGAGGCGAACGCTCGAGCGTGGCCTGTCCCGTGTTGGGCGGGTGGTACCCGATGAAGCGTGAGGGCGGATGGCTTGGTCCCAGCGTCGTTCAGCGTGAACGGCCATCGGATTAGCCTAAACGGCTTATTCCGATGAGCCGTACTGGCCGGCTGATGAGAGCTGACGTTAATGCTCCGAAATTTGTCCCCGCTTTTCGCTTTGGTTCCCGCGGACAAACCGGTGAGCCCAACAGGTGGCGCGATGTGGACAACAGCGCTCAATGGGTCGCGCCGAACAACCGCCGGCGCCGCTGCGGTGCTGCTACGACAGCCGACTCGCCAGCTGATCGAACACGCTGCCGATGCGAGGGGCCGCCGTCCCGGACATCGGCGCCGGTGAGGCCCGCCGTTCCGGACATCGGCGCCGGTGAGGCCGCCGTCCCGGACATCGGCGCCGGTGAGGCCGCCGTGCCGGACATTGGCGCCGATCAAATACCCGAGGAATCGGGATGACTCACGTCCTTGCGTAATCCAGCCGGTCTCGAGGAACTGGTGTGGCTCGCACATGTCGTCATTGGCCGTGATGGCCGGACTGAGACCTGGAACCCGCGCGTGCTGGTCATGTCGTGACGTCATGATGGGTGGTACGGACTACATGGCGCTAGAGTCGCTCTGCGGAGAGCTCACATAGAGAGATGCGCGAGAAACTTATGATCACTCTAAGCCAGCTGGGGAAAAGTCAAGTGCGTTTCCCCTGAGTCCGACGACTCCTTTTATCCAATGTATCAGATCGAGAATACACATTGACAAGTTAGAAAACAAATAAGTAAAGCTTTGCGAACTTTCAGCGTCGTAGGAGAATCGTATGGTTATTCATAAGACAAAAATGGGCAGCGCGATTTTCAAAACTACAAACTATCACAATCTTTAAAACTCGCGGCAAATCGCAATAACGCTTAAATTTGTTATCTTTCGTATCCTGGTAATTGTGTCTATTGATACCCATAGACTTTCAACTTAAGCACCGTTCGTAAAAAATATATTGAGTTAAATTCCTACGTTCCAGGTCCTTAACAAAGCGACGTCAACACTAGACATGTATCCTCGAGCTCTTTTTAAACAAGGAACAGCAATTCTAGATACTGACGATGACCAGCAGCACAGGTTGCTTGCGATGTATTCTGGCAGATGTCATTAAGGCCATGGCAATAGCCAATTCATGCTTACAACTGCCATCCGCGGAAATAATGTGAATGACCATGAAACTCCGCTTCAGATTCATAAAGGTCATGGTGCAGCGGTCGCCGTCTGACCCCAATTATCGGCCCCTTAGCACCTGCCTGCTTTTTGTGTCCAGAATATTATACGACGACTGTCCAACGATAAACTAATAGTGACGTGTGCTATGCGTCCGAGGGGCATACAAAACCACTCCGAGGCGTCGCAAAAACACTGAAAGGAGTCTAATGAAGCGAGTCTTCGCAGGGTAAATACATCCATTGAAATCAGTGGAACAATGGAGCTGAAACTAACCTATCTTGTCCAGCACGTGTGCTCGTGCCTGCAGTCTGCACGCAGAACATTATCACAAATGAGCCACAAATAATACCGAAACGTTACGTAAAGTACCGCAAGACATTTATACTGCAGATTAGAATGTTACGTTCAAGTTTGTGACCTGCAGTGATCTTTGTGTCTGACCTACATCATTTTTTACCCCAAGTTCCCCATACGCATCTTGCAGGACGAAGCACTGATCGGAGCGATCTGAAATTTACCAGTTGAGAAAAGCGAGCTCGACCTCTACGCAGCAAATGTCATAGAGAACAATGAAGCAATGGGGAGGCCTTCATGATCGCTTTCTTTTCTGTATCGAGCCATCCCACTAAAAATTACTGGAGGTCGTGTTTAAAATTGTCTTTACAACCAGAAAAAGTTGTGGCGCTTTTGGGTAGGTGTCGGAAGTGATTTGTATTTCACTACACCCAAACACCGGCCACATACCACGCCGAAACCAATTACCATTCTTTTTCAACAGAACAAACAAGCCTGACCCGGTTAGCTGTGTGCTTGCTGGCCAACCCTATGCTAACAACTCGGTCGTTAATTCCGCCCGGTAAACTGGCGTCGACACATTCCGGAGACGGCTGGGAGGGTATGTCTGCCGCACTCGTTCACTGATTCATTTGACCCTCGAAATGAGCCTGAAGTGGCGGTCGAATCGCTCCTCCCATCATACGCCCATGCTGCGAGCATTGCCTAAGCGCTACGCAATCATCCTGACACATGATACAATCAGCACGCGCTGATGGGATGCAGAGTTCACGAACTGTAATACGGACTCGGCCTTCGGCCTCCCACGCAGGGATTATATCCGAGACAACCACGGCCACGCGGTGGCAACGGGCTCGTTAAGAGTCATGAGCACAGCTATACGACCTGAATAATGGGACGCAGCAGTCACTTAACACTCACCTAGCTGAAACTCCATGACGTTGTTGCCTCTCCGCTTCAGCCAGATGCAGTTGTAAGCCTCCTCGCCGCTGCCAAACAAACGCAGCCCATTAGCATTGCAGGCATGGCTAAGTGACTCAGGGAGTTCATTGATCGGCCAGCCCACGCCAGCCGTTCGCGAGCCTGTGGTCGCCGCTGTCATCTGGACTGGCCGGCTCCGAGAACCCTCCGCAATACCGAACATTGCAGCCGGGATTCCGAGCCGTCGCGGGGCGCAGTCTGGGCGTCGCCAGACGTCCCGATGTACGGCCCGTGATTGCAGACTTTGGCAGGAGGGCGGGACAGCTGCTTCACTCCCACCCCGCCGACAAAACGCCGGTTCACAAAACCCGGTGGCCACCGTGCGCCACAGCCCCATGACTGTCTGAAGGCCACTGGACAACGGTTCCTCATGCGGTATCTCCTGCCTGTTGCAGATCAGCCGCATCAGCTCACGGGAGAGAGAGAGAGAGAGAGAGAGAGAGAGAGAGAGAGAGAGAGAGAGAGAGAGAGAGAGAGAGAGAGAGAGAGAGAGAGAGAGAGAGAGAGAGAGAGAGAGAGAGAGAGAGAGAGGAGAGAGAGAGAGAGAGAGAGAGAGAGAGAGAGAGAGAGAGAGAGAGAGAGAGAGAGAGAGAGAGAGAGAGAGAGAGAGAGAGAGAGAGAGAGAGAGAGAGAGAGAGAGAGAGAGAGAGAGAGAGAGAGAGAGAGAGAGAGAGAGAGAGAGAGAGAGAGAGAGAGAGAGAGAGAGAGAGAGAGAGAGAGAGAGAGAGAGAGAGAGAGAGAGAGAGAGAGAGAGAGAGAGAGAGAGAGAGAGAGAGAGAGAGAGAGAGAGAGAGAGAGAGAGAGAGAGAGAGAGAGAGAGAGAGAGAGAGAGAGAGAGAGAGAGAGAGAGAGAGAGAGAGAGAGAGAGAGAGAGAGAGAGAGAGAGAGAGAGAGAGAGAGAGAGAGAGAGAGAGAGAGAGAGGAGAGAGAGGAGAGAGAGAGAGAGAGAGAGAGAGAAGAGAGAGAGAGAGAGAGAGAGAGAGAGAGAGAGAGAGAGAGAGAGAGAGAGAGAGAGAGAGAGAGGAGAGAGAGAGAGAGAGAGAGAGAGAGAGAGATAGAGAGAGAGAGAGAGAGAGAGAGAGAGAGAGAGAGGAGAGAGAGAGGAGAGAGAGAGAGAGAGAGAGAGAGAGAGAGAGAGAGAGAGAGAGAGAGAGAGAGAGAGAGAGAGAGAGAGAGAGAGAGAGAGAGAGAGAGAGAGAGAGGGCCACTCACCACTGCGAGCGGGAGTAGATGACGTATTTCTCGTCGTGGCCGGCGATGCAGCGCGCTGTGTGTGTCTTGAAGTTCTTGGCGTCCTTGTAGACCATGGTGTCGCCGTCGACGTGCGAGTGCTGCCAGTGTCCCTGCGCCCAGTCGGGGAAGGAGCAGGAGGCCTGGCGGACGGCCAGCGGCCACGGCTGGCTGGGTCTGGCGTCCAGCACCAGGCGCTCGTAGCCGCGCGTGGCGCTCACCAGGTCCCGGTGGCAAGACGAGTCGGACGAGAGTGCCATGTAGATGCGACCCGTGCCGGCCTCCTTGCGGTACATCTGGTGACGCACAGACAGACGTGCCGGTCAGTCACGGCACACAGACAGACGTGCCGGTCAGTCACGGCACACAGGCAGACGTGCCGGTCAGTTGCGGTACACAGACAAGCGCGCCGGTCAGCTGCGGTACACAAACAGACACAGCGGTTAGCAATGGAGCCCGGACGAGCGTGGGGACCTGGACACGCATCGATTGACTTAATGCCAAGACTTGTCGCAGGACTTAAATATTTGCTCACGGGTCCCGAGAAAGACAATCACATTTCCATCAGTTCAGAGCTGTGTTGGGTGCCACGCGAATGCTAATGGAACAGCGTGTAATGAATCATCATTCGCCACTAGCCATTTTCACCGGAATCATACCAGCTCTGAATGGAAACGCGTTAGCGCAATATATGCCAACATTCCAGGGCGAACAATGTCTTTCATCTTTTGGCTGTTCAAAGAAAAGTTCATCAGCGTCAGTGCCGGGGTGTGCCGGTGCACTACTCCTTTTAACTATGTTTATGTTTAGTGTCGCGCTTCATCAAAATATATGTGCGTATTTCAAAAAGCTAGCCAACACTTCACAGCGCATACCGTCTTCCAAAGCAACACAATCTGACTGGACGCAATGAGCCGTTATGGCACTTTATTCGTGATTGCTATTCAGTGCGCCGCCGTGCAGAAAGGACCGCCGCCTGCGCGGTGTCAGCGGTGCAGGCAAGGCCGCGCGAGCGGTGACTCTCTGCGGTTGGAGGTCAGACGGCGAGCACCTGCCCCGCCGGTTCCGATCGCTGGCCATGCTCACCGGCCGACGGCTAATGGAGGCGGCGGGGGCAGCCGAGGGGAACGGACCGACACCCGCCGGATGCGGCGCCTCGGCCCCCTCTCCTTGCTGTCACACCAGGCCAGCGGGGGATCGCCAGCCCCGCCTCCCACCCGTCAGCCATGGCCCGGTCGCAAGTCTCACTCAGCTGACACGGCGGGGCGTGTCGCGACGACACGGTGCCCATCGGGTGGTGCCGCAAACCGCGCCAACCTTCGCAAAACAAGCCGCTAATTGAAGAGATGCCTATCGGCTATTGTTTTCCACCATAACCGGCGGGATTCTTTCTTTAGAAGCGTGGCGGGGCGCATACAGGGGCCAGATTTAGCGGGCAGGAGTACCACTGGTGAGAGAAGGGGGGATAGGGGGGGCACCATCCAGCACCACTATCTCTTCCGTGTCAGTCCCGGAATGCCACGTCACGTCCTGTGGACGACAGTGCCTGTCAGCAATTACGGCCAGCCCCGGTCCCGATGGTCGCTTCACGGCGCGCTGATCAGCGGGGCACGTCGTCATGCCGGCGTGAAGCCGGCCGGCTGGGCTGCGCCAGTGAAACAGGCTCGCGGTGAAACAGTGCGGCGCCGAGGAAAAGACATCGCTCTGGATTAGATGCTTGGATGATGGATTTTGATCACATCAGGCTGCCTTTAAGATCACGAGGCCGGAAAATCCTGCACTTTGCTCTCCTGTGTTGTTACTGCTGAGGTTTTCGTAAAAAAGCGCATCGCCAAGTTTCTCCAAAAGTAACCCAGTCAACTTCGCATGAGGGATCCGGGAATGAACGTCCTCTGATCACGGAGTCCGCGGGCTTCATTACGTACAAATTGACGCTACTGTAGCCGCACCGCTGCGTTACTGCACCGACGCACGCACAAAATGAGGCCAAATGGACGCAGATCTGGCGCGGTGAGCTGTTTCGGAAGTGCGGCGACAATTATTTCCAGCGCTCTGGTGCGGTGCACCAAGTCTCATTCGCGTAATCATAGCTGCCGGGAAACGGTCTGATGCCCTGTGCACAACGCACGGCGTGTTTCCGCTGGCACGGCGCTGCAGCCGGCGGCAGTGGAACTAACCAGCACGGGCACGGCGAACGGTACACCCTGGCCTCGTCCTAGGGCGACGGCTGAAGAATGCAGCGCGTCGTGCTGCCCTGGAATCCTAATATCGAGCGGCTGGTCAGGAGTCCCGCTATCCAAAGAGCAGCGCTGGCGACGTGACGATTTTTGTTGTTAAAGTCACCGCTGCGCTCATGGACAATCGAATTTACAACAAAAGGCGGAAGCCTCGTCCGCTAACGGTGGGCCGCTTCATTTGTCGCCGCTGCGCCACAATCGCCGGACGCCGCGAGCCGACTGCCATGTGGTCAGCTGAGCCCGATCCCAGGCGGGCAGCGGAGAGCTGAAGCCCGCACGATGCGGTCGATACGCTGGCCGGACCACACCCTGTCGTATCCGGCGACGGCTGACTGTCATAGCCACCCGCCCCCCGCCCCGCCACGGATCACAGCGATGGTGTGACAGGCCGTGACCTCGCTGCCACGCTTTGCGTATCTCGGAAACCACGCATGGTCGTGACGGTTACTTAGAATTGACGCTTGATAAGCGTCATTTGCGCCGAATCAAAAGAGCAAGATATCTACTATTTCAAAAGTCAGGTTCGGTAATGGTCAGTTGATTATTTCAGGTCCAAGGATTTTTCTCTCCCAGCGGCATAATCATTTCATTCGGCGCTAATGTGCACCCGGGCCATCCCGCCCAGGTCGTAATTTCGTCCTCTGCTCGGCGGCAGCGGCGGCGGCCGTCAGACGGCTGCGCTGAGGCGACACATTCTGCGCGCCCTAATGGCCGGCCGTTTTAAGTGGAGGGCCGTGTACCGATGCACCGGATCGGGTCGATCGAGGCGGCAAAAACAGCGTCGGCCCGGCGACCAGGCACCTATCGGCGGCGATCGGGCGGCGCCGGCGCTGGTGTACGCGCGGCCGTGCGCGCCGATCAGGCGTCATGCGACGAAACCCGACCCGCGCCCCCTGATAGCCTCGCTGAGGGATGCTACCGGCCGACCCTCGCACGGCGCGGGACTGCCGCGACACCCGTCTGCTCGCGATCGGCTAAATTGGGCAGCTTTGCCCAACGCGCGGAGTGAAACACGGGTGTCCACAGAAGCGAGCTGGAGCCGATGTTGAGGCTGCACCAAGATTTGAGCCTGTCCGTTAGCGATGTTGCGATAAGATTGCAAGCAACTTCCGAGCATCGTGAGGAGTGAAATGCCTGGGAGTATCGCTCGTTGCGGTCTACTCTTCGTCGTGCAGTTGCCGCTGTCCGGTGTCATTACGACGAGACGAGACCGTCACTCTCTGTTATCTCCCCGGCAGTCGTCACTCGTCCTGCGCCGCCGGTCACTGCTTACGTGCTCAGGGCTGACGAGGAGACCGTTTCTCCCATATGGGTGCGAGCGCCTCCGGCTCGGTTGTGGCCAGCATTCCAACAACCGTGGCGCCTGGGCCCGGATGCCACGGATGTAGAACTGGCGGCTGGTTATCGGACACTCACCGCGCATCGGTAGCGAGGCCTTTTGTCATCGAAAGCCTCAGCGTCCAGCAGGGCCATGAAGTTGTTGCCGTTGTTGTCCTGCCAGTCTCCAAGACATTGGAACGTCATGTCTGTGAGGAAAAACAAGTAGGTTAGGTGATATGCAGTGGTCTTATTTCATTGCTGCTCTGATTCTGCATCGTTTTTTTCATGAGATTATGGCTCGACATTATGACACGCTCATTTGATGCTTGTTCTACTCAAGCCCCACAGGACAGGTTAAAACGAGGCGAACAGTTCAGAGAGCTGTCACAGGGACAGACTGCTACAGTAAGCCGAGGCGTGCCGGGCTACAACACGGCTTATCCCCGTCCTGCACAATGTAACAGCGATGAAACAAGCGTTATCCGCATAAAACACTGACGTGGAAACCGGCTCTTACTGAGGTCCTGTCTGAACGAGCAGTCACTGAAGCGGAGGTGGAGTCCGAAGCCGTACGGACAGTTCGAGATCTGGGAGCGCGAGTCCGGACACGCGGCCGCGCTCTCTGTGCCGTCGGCGATGTCGTACGAGAAGGAGAAGCGGCCGCTGATCGGGCAGTACACCTGATGTACGTGCGGATCGTGGCTCCGAGTCTTCACCTCTGCGAAAGGGATACCAGAGTTAAGTCCAGATTCCTGCACGCATCGCAACAGAGCACAGCTGGGCGGCCTGACGCCAACGACATGTAAGCCTTGCTACATCTCGCCAACGCAGGATCATAAGCATGAAACGGGTGCCGCAACGACATCAAATACGTCCTCTGATCCGACCCGGCTCAAGCCAGATAAGATTTGTCACTCAGCTGCCGCTGTCTTCCAACCTCGGCCGTTACCACACCCAGCTACGCTGCCTCTGGCCGCGCCGCTCGCTCGGCCGACAGCGGGGACCGTGCACTGTCGCCCGTTGCCGCAACTTCCGCGGCGGCAGGCTGCGCACCGCTCGCGTTGCGCCAATTACATTTTTCCATGACCTCTGTACGGGCTGGGAGCCGCCGCCGGCGGCGGCGGCGGTGGCGGGCCGGGCAGGAATGCCGTCCCATGCCGGGCGCCGACGGTGGCGGGCGGAGGCCGGCCAACGGCAGCCGTTTATGGCCCGGCTCCTGCCAGCTGCAGGGCGTGATGCTGACCGCGCCTATGGCAACAGCACGCCAGTCGGCGCCGCGCGGCGGCAGCAGGCCGGACGCGACGGAGAAGTCGTGCAGGGCCGCGCGTTTTAGAAAAGTCGTAAAGATCTAGACGTCGGTACGCTTTACAGGCGTCACGACCGCGTGGCGACGTCAAGATGCCGCCGTCAGATACGGTATCAGAGACTGGCCATCTCAGACAGCTGATCGAGCACTTCTGCACCCTCCGTCAAAAGGCCCACGCGCTCCCCAGGCATTGCGGCGACCTAGCACGCATCCAGCCTGCGCGTTCGCGCACTGCGGCGTCGATTCCCGCTCGCCGCCGGCCCGGTCGGCCGCACCACTCCCAGGACCACCGGGAGAGGCAGGTGGCTGTCGCGGCGGCCAGCGTCAACAGGCGGCGCCGCGCCGTCAGGGGCTGGCGCGAGCGGCCAGGTGCTCGAGCCGCACCTGAGCGCGCCGGCCGCGGCTCCGGCAGGAAGGCGATTCAGCGCGGCCACCGGAGCGCGTCTATCCCACTGCGCCCCACCAGACCGGGCGGAAGTAAGCGGCCGCCCGCTGCAGCGGTACCCGCTCATCCGGGCCGGCGCGTGCTGGCGCCGCCACACCCCGTGGGATGCCGGGTGACCCCGGCGACCCGCGTTCTCACTTCGGGACCGCGGTGCCCACCGACACCTGGCGGAATGGCGACAGCGCGCGCAGCCTTGTCACGTGACTACCGCAGGCGATGGGTGAGCCATCGCGCCGGTAGACGATAACGTTTCAATTTTCCGCTGCGCTCCACACGTTACCATTCGGCAGACGCGCGCCACGCAGCGGCCCGCTGCTGTCGTCAGTGCCGGTTGGGCGGCGAGCGGCGCGGCGCGCAAGTGACCCGTGCTGTTGGGACGAGCTGTCAGCAACGGCGCGCGTCTCGTTCCTCACAGCACGAGACCGCTCCCCCGCACATCCATCAGGCCGGGGACGGCCACGAGCCGCCTGCGCTGGGGGCGCGTGCCGGGCGACGGCCTTGACAGGTCAGCAACTGGAACCCAGCACGGGGCGGCCGCCGCGTGGGTGGTGTAAGGACACCCGGGCCAGGCGGGATGGACCGCAGGTGCTCTTCACCTCAGCTCCTCTCAGGGTCGCCAGCCGATCGGCGAAAAAACACACCGGGCGATAATTGCGGGTCCCGCCGGAAAAGCAGCTAATGAAGGGTCGGCGCGCAGCCGACATTTGCCCGTAATGACCGCGTGTAGGATGTCAATTTAACATAAAAAAGAGCGGCCGCCTTTCAGAGACATGTCGCCAAGCCCGGCGCCTGTTCACAGGCCATAGCTCGGCAGGAGCTCGTGTCACCAATGGCGGTGCGAGCCAAATGGAAGACCGCGCAGGTCGCGTTTCACCGCTCGCGTGAGGGCCGCTTCCACCAGATGGCTCGGGCCCATTCAGGGCCTGAGCGGCAGGGACGCAGCGGCGGCGTGGCGTCTGCCGTGCGCGGCTGCTCCCGCCCGCCCACCCCTGGCGCTGCCGCCGGCCACGCTGGGACCGGCGCGACACCACCGGTGCGACACCACCGGCGCGACACCACCGGTGCGACATCACCGGCGCGCGCCCGGCGCCCAGTCACCCTAACGCCGCGTCCGCCAACCGCTCTAGGCTCTGTGTCGGCGTCCGTGCCCGCGCGGAACATTGGCCGCGCGCAGCGGAGGTGGCACAATGGCGGCGGTCGCGGCGCGCCCCGGGCGCATGTCGTCACGTCAGCGACGGCGACTGGTGGCGTGAGGGCGGCGGGACGCCCCGGCGCCCCGCCCGTTCCCTGATGGGTGCTGAACTCGCGGCGATAAAGGCGCCGCGCGGCGCGGCGCCTCTCACCTCCCGCCGACCGCCGCTGGCTGAGCGAAACTCCGGCGCCTCCTTCGCGATCAGCCGAGGCACCCGCCCCCTGACCCCAGGTCAGCAGGGCCGGAGATCACGTGTAGCGCCATCGTACGCGACCTCAGGTCCCTGCGGCGTCCAACAATCTCCTGCCTCGTCATTGTTTGGATACTGCACGCCGAGAAACAATGGGTATAGATCAGAATTGTTTTCCTGCGTGAGCATAATTGAAAAGACGGGCACGCCTATGAATGCCACATGCATTTATTAGAAAGCCAGTCACCGCCGCGGCCGTCTAATCCGGTCTGATATATGTGAGCTAACCCTGGAGATGGGCCGGATAAAAATTAACGTAATTTTGAAATCAATGTCGATGGCCCAACCTAATTTTCATTCCCGGCCATATATTTATCCGCGAATGATACCCAAGACCAGCAGACCCCAGACGACTCATATTATCGACTTCACTGTAAATTATCGGGCAGAGCAGTCATCTCTGCGGACCTCTACAACTCTGGAGAGCTGCGGAAGATGGACGCCAGATGCTCGACAGCCGACAGATGGACTTTGTCATCTGACCACGGCTCAGCTCAGCAGAGCTCTGTCATTTGTCAGCAGGCGACAGATGCCCGGTGTCCACGGACCGTCAGGTGATATCAGACAACTGGCATGAGTTGTGGTGCCATGTTGAAGGGCTGGGACATGCGAATCGTGTGACATCTGACGAGCGACAGGTTCGTCTCTTCATCACCTTCTACCTCAATTGATCCTCTTCCAATCTCTTGCCAGTTCCTCTTCGACAGCCTATCCTTTTGACTCCCTCTCCTCCATCGCTCCCTCTTTCGCTTTTCTGACCCGCTCTCCTTTCTCTCGTTGGGCAAGCGCGACAGTATGCGTTCAGCCCCCCCCCCCCCTTCCATTCCTTCACAGGCGGGGCCAGTCGACACGACTGGACACTGCTTGTGACGTCACACGGGGATCAGGAGTGGCCTAGATCGAACGGGCTTTGCTTGTGTCGTCACACGACCATCAGGAGCGGCCCCTGATAGCCGCTCGTCGGTTGTGACGCCACAAGACCATTATCAGTGGCCCCACATCGAGACACTGCCTCACGACTCTCTCACAGTCGGATGGGTTTCGTGCACTAAACGCGCACGAGGCGGCCACAACGGTCACGTGAAAAGATTGCCCCCGTATTTGCTCTGAAGATCAGGTCGCGACGGAAATAATCTCGTCTGCACGCACAGGATGAGACGGCGAAGGATCAATGCCCACAATCACCACCATCATCACGTCGCTATTTTCATTAAGGCAACGCGGCTGAGCGGTCGCCAAGAGCAGCACAATGACAAGGCACATTCTGCTTAACTTGAACCCTGTAGCAAACTGAATGAATGTTTGCGGGTTCGCGTTTTTGTTTGGTGCGTCAAGATTTACCCGCCGATAGGCTGAGGCCGCACTACTCTGCAGCTCTTGTGGGCGAAACTCTGCACCGGGCGCCGGCAAAATAACAGAGTCGTACTCGGGAGTCGGAGTTGCGGACTCACCGCCCACCTTTGCTGCATGGAATGCACCATACAACGCCTCGAGCAGAACCCGCGGAACCACTCGTGTTCAGGAGAAGCGCGATTGTTCTGAACATGCAATACTGCACTCACTGTACATCATGAGCTCGTGGATGCGGCTGCGGTTCATCCTCTGCGGCGAGCTCATCTCGTCGACGGTGGGACACAGTTTGAATGTGTCGTTGAGGTTGGTGGCGCAGCTGCTCTGCGGATCCCGCGTGTGAAGTTGCAGGACGTTGGCCGAGCGGATGGCCAGGTGGAAGCAGCGCAGGCAGCCGTTACTCCTGCGGGGCAGACATGACATTCAATGGAAACGAAATAATTTCAACATCTCTATCCAGCTGGCGTCAGGGTACAGTTTGCGGTTCACTGTCAATGCGTATATTTAGAATCCTAGTTGGAAACGAAAGCACTTTGGCGTCTGAAACATCAACTCCACGCACATGGTGGCAAGCTTAAATGCTTGGTCTTCAATGACAATACCCAATAAAACTCATCGAAACGTTTTCAGAGTTTTCGGGTTTTAATAAACGTACACACCCGGACTGGTTAAATGGGCCATATCGCCCCCGTGTTACCACAAACACGATATATGGTGCCTTATTACTATGCGGCTGCAGACCGGTCATATATCTCCGGGTAACGAACGTGACGTGAATTCGTAAACGAGACACACCGATCACGAGCTGTTTATGCTTGACCCACTCTGCGAGGTTTAATACCAGAACGGATAGCCGGCTCTGACTGGCGCATCCCTGTTCCCTCGGAACGTGCCTCCATCCGGCAAAATATATATTGACGTGATGCGGGCAGCACAGACTGAAGATTGGCTGATTGGAGGCCTCAATGGATCTCAGGCGGCGGCCGGAGGGAGAGAGCGCGTGAGAACCGCGCCGGGTGTCCGACGTGGCGGCCAAACACTCGGAAAGTCAACAACAACTCCTCACCAGAACTCCGCACGTAATTAATTGTTTCTGATCGGAGCCACCGCAAGGTTTGATGCATCACCTGCCGGAGGGGTGGGGTCGGGGCCGCGCCGGGGCCGCCTCGTCGGCGGTTCTCACGAGCGGGCACGGCCGCCCCATCCGCACCGCTCCCTGGGCTCGTACCATTTGGAGACAAATTACGGGCCGGGTGACCGGCGCCGCCCGTGGGCAGGCCGGATGGCGGCGGTTATGGCGGAATGTGGCGCACTTTTTACGTCACGTCGACCGGCGGGCCCGCTCCCCATGTCACCGCTTCTGATCGGCACCCCGGGTATGTGCTGACAAAACAAACAGGAAAGGCTAACGAAAACAAATCTCACAAATCAGCGGACATTCCCCGAAGAGAAGTCTTCAGCCAGGCCTGGACTAAGACAAGAGGGACATGAATGCAAGGATGGTGATTGAAAGATAGAGACCATTTCAGACAATTAAATCGAATGAAAAGACAGACGAAACCACACTGGCACCCATGATAGTGGAATAGGAGCACAGGATGAGTCGGGAAAAACGAGAAGCAACAGCAAACGTGTGGGTTCACCGGATGCAGAAGCCACAGGGAGCCCGTCCGCGGGTGACATATGTCGCTCCCCCCCCCCCCCCTCCCCCACACCATACCCCGCGGTGAAGCCACCCACGCTCACCCAGGAGCGCTAAACCGTGCTGACCGCCGTGAGAACTGGACGTAAAACACATGGATTCTGAACAAAGACGACCGCCGTCGAGCAATTACCGTCCCATTGGGCCGGAGCTCCACGGACCCGGGCCTTTAAACACGGGCCGGCGGCAGGCGTGCCTTCCCAAGGGGCACCGGAAGTCCCTACCGGCGGCCAGGCGGCCCCAGCAGGAGCAGCCGGCAACATATGGTGGCACCAGCCGTGTGAGAAATCCCTCAGCAGCGGAACCATTAGCAACCTGACGACGAACCATTACCGCTACCAAAATACGATCGTCTTCAGTTGTAATAATTTACTGCTGTAGCTGAAAAGGTCACGTTACGTTTCGAAACCTGCCGCTGGCATGGACTGAGTGGCACCGATAGTTAGGGGTGATAATTGCCAGCAGCATCGCCCATGGACAATGGGTGACAGCGAGAGCGAGAGGAGGGTAACTCACTCCCGAGTCAACTTACGAGTCGCGTAGTATCAGGTTGTTGCCGATCCTCCTGTGGCACACGCCGTACGGCAGTATCCTGTTGATCTCTATCAGCACTTCCGAGTACTGATTTCTGGCGCTTTGTACAGCGTATGTGCCATGATACTCGAACGGGAAGAAGCAGTCGCTGAGGCCTGAAACAAACCACATGAAGACATATGAAAAGTGGGCCCGTGCGCCCAGAACTGCATCTGTAGTACGGGCGCTTCTGACCTCTCCAAGAAAGGTAATGCGAAGGTGCAAGTGAAGAAACAGAACAAATTAAGTATCATACTTTTAGTGAGAGCATGCCATCTTATTCTACTCTTTACTCACTGGCAGATCATACGCATCCGAATTGATCAATAATACCTTTTTTCGAAATCCTTATAGCTCAGCTCAAAGCTCAGAATTTTTATTTGACGTCGTCGCTCTGAAGGGAGAAATGACAGTGGACCTGCTGCTCACTTAAGAAAGCGGTACTTTTCGCTTGCCACTTTTTCGCTCGTGTGTTATGCAATGTTTGCAATACGATGATCGTCAAAATAATTGCGCAATAAATGATGCGGAAATTTAGAACACCCTATTTAAGGAGACAGATGTCATAAGCAAAGTGTTTCTTTGCGAAGTGCACCCTGGTTTGGGAAACAAACGCACACATGGTCACGTGGCGCACTGGTTCAAGCTTCCACCAATCAGCTCTTCGGTAAACGGCATACGCCGTCCACTGTGCCAATCACAAGCGTCTCTTTCTAAATATGTCGTTCATTCCAGTGGAGGTGTCGTTTTTAAAGCTCGCAAAGCCCGCAATGGGAGGGTCCAAAAAACTCAAGAGCAGGGCCTTCCGTCCGTAAGAAACTCTGCCGTCGCAAGCTGCCGCAAACTAAGGCCGCACTCTGGGGCTACAAAGAAAGAAAGAAGCCTAGTACTTGGATGAAACGGTGGCTGAGGACTGATACGGAATTGGAGGGTTGTTTATTTTGGTGCTAGGTTCGGAGCCGAGGTTCAGGTTACCACGGCTAGTGCTCTACCAGGGATTCATGCATTGCGGTCTCCTATGCTTTGAAGATCCCGAGCCCCGACTTGCCGCGCTGTAGCTGCGTTTCGTCCATTTTATGAGTCGTGAGCCCAGTGGGTTGACCCAGGCCCATGTATACCGTTCGTGTCGACATTCGTCCCGTTATTCGTGTGCTTCGTCGCCGGCTTTGTGACTGCTGCCGAACTCGCCCCGCCACCTGATGAGGCCCGACTGCCGGACCCGTTACTACATCTGGCGCAGTCCATCACATCACCTGTGACGTCATCAGTGCGGGTCGGTCACTGCAGTGAGCCAAAACGTCACTACAAAAGAGGACTGGACGGGATGACGTCAGTCGACAGCTGGCGTTACCTAACTTAGCCGCAGCGAAATGAAAATCGTATTCATGATTTCCAATGGCAGCTCCAAGCTCGGACAAAGCTGCATGTCGGGGGTGGGGCTGCCAGCAGCCTAGCTTCAGTGGAAGGCGTTTGAGGAAGTCCGTGAGTAGCGCCTTCAGTCGGCGGCGGCTTATACTCGTGACTCACGAGCCCTCGATCAAACAGCCCGCGTGTTCCTTACGTAGGCACCTGCGCTTTGTTTATTGTATTGGCTCAAGTCCATCCACGGCAGCTCTTTGTATTTTTACAACACCGTGACGTTAGCAACTAAGGTGCGTTCGAGATCGAAGCGATCAATCCAACGCATGTGCTAATTTGGAATAAAATTCATGTGTCAAAGCGCATGGGAACCGCGGCAAGATACAGGATTGCATCACAGAGGGACAAGGGCTTCGAGCGTCACAGATCAACAGCGGCTGGAGAGACATTCAGATGGGCTCAAAGCCTAGTCGCTCGACCCAGTGTTTAGGTTTTGAAATGAGAGCTTTGAACATCTTCCAGATGATGTCATAGCCTCTGCGTTTGACGGATTGCGCCGAGTATTGTGTCCGCCGACAGCTGGAACTGCTGTCTATCCTACCCGGGGCGGGATAAATTGTGACGTCACTGGTGCACGTGCCAACTGTCACCACCCTCGGGCGGACAGATTCCTTCATTAGCTGCCAACGCGGTCATTACTCACAGCCTCCCGTCTGGCCGGGACACGCGCAGAGCGTGCTGGGCTCGCAGAGCGGCCGGCTCCGGCTCCGGCTCCCCAGCCCTGCGGCCGGGCCGGACAAGTCCTGCTCCCGGCGCAGCGCTGGCCGCGCCGGACAGTCACAAGCCATCGTGACGCCGCAGTGCGGCCGCTAGCCGCGAAGGCGCCCTGTAATTACCGGCAACGGAAGAGCGCCGTTTTTGTCGCGGTTCGGCGGGCAGGGGCGCCGCGCGCGCAGGGCCGAGCAGGTGACGTCTGAACTGGCCACTTCCGCCGGGCTGCCGGCTGTTTTTCGTCGCGGGTGGGGGCAGGGACGCCTCGCCAGGCGGCGGGGAGCCGGTCAATTATCGCCATTTTTGTAGACCAGGTTCACTTGTCGGGCACGCTGCACCTGCGCCCCACAGCTCGCTCTGAAAGCTGGGCCCACGGGAGTGGCAAAAACGGCCAGCGCCAGCTAAAAGCGTCCAAAAACGTCACCGTGTGTCGCGGGCCACGTGCCGGCGTGTTTCTGCCGTCCTCCCATTAGAGAGCGGGGGATGTTGACTCACGCCCCCGGGGCGAGACTGATGCGGTGTGGCGAAAGGGGAGCACGAGCTCGGCTGGAGCCGACGGTTGGTCCGGAACTGCGGCCCTCGGCCCAGAACAGGCGTTGTGTACGGTGCAGACACTCGCGTCAGGTGCGACTCACTGCACCCGGGCGGTCCTGACGCCGCGGACAATACAGAGAGACCGGCGCTCCACTGCGAGACGTCCCCAGATTGTGGCGGGAGCCTGGGAGTGCAGCGCCGTCGAGGGACATCACGGCCCGGCAGCAGGTCAACGCACGTCGTGGGAGAGAGATGGCGAGAGGCTCTGTTTGGGACGCCGTGGGAAGCTTGATGTGACCTCCGTCACGACACCGGGTGACCTCGGATTTAAGCCGAGCGTGCGGGTACCTCAATGAAATCGCCCACACAATCCCCGAAGTATGTTTTTCACATGAACGGAACTTCAATCCGCCACACGCTGCACGCATCACGACAACATCTACTCGCTCAAAAATCAGATTAACAGACACGATGTAAGCAAAGCGGATCCCACCGGAAGTTAAGCTTCGTCGGACGCCCAGTTTCATCGTCTTTGGCTGAGCGCCCGTAAGTCGCTGCACCTGATGGACAGAGCCATCTGTTCAGACCGGGGCGGCCGTCGTCTCTGCTTTCTCGGCGCTGACACATATACAGCGGTGGCGCGGCGCCGCTGCTGTCGCCACGCTGGATGACGGACGACACTGAGCGGTGTGCGCTCAAGTTACGGCGCGTTGTTCGCCGCCGCCGCACAAAACGCGCCGACCCAGTTTGCCAAACCACGTGACAAATGGTGGCGGGCGGCCACAATGGCCGGGTGTGGCCCGGGGTTGGGCCGCCGGCGGTTCACAGACACGGCCGAGCTGATCGCCGACGGCCCGGCGACGCCACACACTGGACCGGCGTCGGCCGGTAACCAGCCAAAACGGACCGGGAGATGATGAGAGCACACTGGACCGGGTTCGGCCGGTAACCGTCCACAACAAACCGGGAGATAATGAGAGCACACTGGACCTGGCGGGGCCGGTGACCGGGCAGCAGTGTGAACGTAAAGCGTGGGGATCGGAATATATCATTCTTGGGACCGATTTGAGGGCGAGACATCAACGAGTCCAAGCCTGCTGATTGATGTCGGGGCTTTGTGCTCAGCCACACGGAATGATGGGAACTTCCCTCCGGTGCGCCCGTGTGAGGGTCGATGGGGTAGTAAGTGCTTAGGTGGACGCAAGCAGTAATGGACTGTAAATTATACTAATTTCCACTCATACAATGCCGTCCGAGCCCGATGATCCGGCCCTGGGCTTTAATGTACTCATCACTCAGTCTCTGGGATCAGTAGCACTACTTCCGTGGCTGTCATGGACTGGATTTCCTCGTTGGCGCGGACACTGGGCCGACGCCTGCGATCAGTTCTAATGTTCCCGTCGCTGGCGCATGACTAGTACCTGACTCGACGGGGACCGACGCGACGGCCGGCTCCCCTCCTGCTCCCTTCGCTGGAGAGGGACGGCCGCCACGTCCGGCGGGGGGGGGGGGGGAGAGCTGACCGTACCCGATGTCCACGGCGGACTTCCTGTCCTCGTGTTCCATTTCCGTCCCTTTAAACCTGGGAGCTAATCTCGGCGGAGGGGAAAAAGCGAAAGCGACACTGTTCAGTGCGAGTGGTGGCTCGGCGAACGAAGACCTGCGAGACGGAATCCCATAATGCCATGTATTTTCATGCCTAAGAAGGGTTCGAGATGACGCAGAGTGATCAAACTTATGGAAATTGGCCATCGATCGCGCTGTGACACGCTCTGCGAACGAAATGCACCCCGCCTACTAACGCAGCTGAAGACCTCGTTTTATAGCCAAGACGCCTCGAAAAACCAAGCGGGGATCCTGAAGGCAGGTGATGTTTATGATCTCCGAAATTCGTGTTTCAAACATGCCGCTGACGCCGACTCCTCGGGCGGGACAGGTGCACTCGCGGGCGGCCCTCATCAGAGCGCGGGCAGCGGTACGCACCGCACGTGCCCCCGTCGGGCCCCGTATCGGAGGGGCAGATGGCCAGCGGAGCGCCCCGAGCCGTAACGACCGGCCGAGGCAATGTTATCGGTTCCGGCCTCCTTGGCGCTGGCTGGGTAATTCTACACCGACCTCTGTCAGCTCCGTATCCGCTGTGATACGGGTGAGAGACGAGGATAGACTCGAGCGACGGCAGACGGGCTTCTGCAGTTTTCGAGACGTCTTTCGCAGCTGTCCTTGTCGCTGGCGTCTCTGGAGGCAAACCAGCTAATCGAACTGGCCTTCCTTACAATCAATGGCGGCCGCGTATAAAGGCAGCGGCGGCCCGGAATTCGAGCATTCTCCCGAAGACGGCGGATTAGGGCCTAGGTCTGAGGCTGCTCCATAAAGTCAGGTGGTCAGCTGCCGCCTGACAGATAACCCTGAGGAATTGGCGGCATTTACCTAATCCCGGCCGGCTTTTGGTCAGTCACGGAGCCGGGGTCCGGTGTCGTCGTCCGAGAGATGAGAGCGACGCCGCCGCCGACACCCAGACGTGAGAGCGAGAGCGACCCACTCCGGTCCCGTCCGGTCCGGTCCCGTCCGGTCCGGTCCCGTCCTGTCCGGTCCGGTCCGGTCCGGTCCGCTGTGGTACAGCAGCGCCAGCTGACGTCCGTATCGGCGCCACCAATCGGCCCGCTCCGACAAACCGCGCAAAGGAAAAGCAGATATTTGTTTGCCAGCTACAGGCCACGGGTGCCACACAGGGTGTGCGGAGCCGGGTCAGGGCTGGCTATCCAGCAGCTGGCTCTTCAGGCTGAGAGGCGGCAAGAAGGGAACATTCCGGTCGGGATTAGCGCCGAGAGCATATTACGAGGCCATTGGAGCCCGATGAGCCGTGCGTTCTGAATAAAATGAGGGAGCCTCAGCACCATTCAAAGGAGCACGGCCAAGCCTACCATTCGCCGGGTACCCTTAAAACCCCCGCGATTTGCAAGGAGGAAACTTAACGAAGTCCACATTATTTGTCCCAAGGTCTTGAAAAGAGCCTGTGTGAATCTCTCTCTCTCTCTCTCTCTCTCTCTCTCTCTCTCTCTCTCTCTCTCTCTCTCTCTCTCTCTCCTCTCTCTCTCTCTCTCTCTCTCTCTCTCTCTCTCTCTCCTCTCTCTCTCTCTCTCTCTCTCGCTCTCTCGCTCTCTCGCTCTCTCGCTCTCCCGCTCTCTCGCTCTTTCACTGTATGTTGCACACAAAAAAGCATCACTTCACGTAACTACAAAATGGCAGGTCATACACAATCCTAGCGCGCCATCAGGACAACCTTTTTGCTAAGTTCGCGAAGACAGAACAGTCGTTCGAGCTATAACACGGAATCCGCGGCCATCCAAAAATCCTCCAAATTTCAGTTCTCAGACCACAGAGCTTCACTTTGAAGCACGTTGTAATCCATCTAACCACTGCCAATCAACTAAAATAAGTTTTGAGCACATTCGTTGACAGACGCCCCACAATCTATAACGCAAACAGATGCATCGGAGGCGATCTCTTCTGCCGCAAAAAGGTACGAATGCAGCTGCCTGGCTCGTCCACTTTTTAGCCTTAGCTCGCGCACACGACACGACGTGACGTGTCCCGACAGTAACCCCACCCAGTCACCATGCGATGGGTGGAATGTCGGCTTTCCGGTTGGGTCCGGATGGGGTATCGGAACTCGGCTGTTTAGGACGGCGGCCAGCAGCCGGCCTGAGAAACGACACGTGGTGGCAGAGACAGGTGCTGAAAGGGCTAGCCGGTGACACGGGTCCGTCCGTAGCATTGGTGCAATCACTCACTGCCCCTGCCGAGGCGACTCGACAACCCATTTATGTGTGAAAAGTGGCGCGGGGTTCGTTCCGGCGGGGACCACACACGGCTGTCGGAGGGGAAGTAAGGCCGTGCCTAACACGTCACACCTGCCGGGGGAACATGCGACCCCCGCCAATGTTGTGCGCGAGGGGACAGCCAATTATTGGGAAGTCAGGGAACGTCTAATCGGCGGGAGCGAGACGTGACAAATCGTATTCAAACTAGTGAAAAAAATGGGTCTCTAAGGAACGAAGCGTGGTGAAACGATACATTTCTCGTACTGGAAGGCTTGGTTTGCCACCATTATCGATTTGATTAGCTGATGTTCATTTGAAATAGCCAGCAAAATGCGAAGGTTAACAATTGCCTTGACAGCTAACTGATGAGATCGTTTTTCCGTCCAGTAAAATTTTAAGTGGCGCCAATCTTATACGCGCCACGTGACTGTTCGCTGTTTGTCGCATACCGCCGGGCTAATCCGTCCCCGTCCGCCTGGATTACCGGCTCTCCCACTCTTACTGACGGTCAGCCGTTTGGCGTGTCTTAACAAGGCGCTCCCGTCTCGGAGGGGTCTCGGAAGTCCCCCGCCGCGGCCCGCCACAAAGCCCGAGTGTGGAGGCTCCAAGGGGGGGATCGCGCGGGTTGGCGAAGGCGGGCGCAGACCCCAGCCGCACCTCAACAAAAGGAGATACAAAGCCAATGCCAGGTAATTTCACCGATCCAAATGCCAGTCTAATGACACAAGCTGTCGGGACAAACATAACCAAATGGGATCATATGACTCTTTGTTACAGTCGTGATGACCAAAAAACAAACCACCATCACTAAAGAGTCTTTCGGCCGCGTCGGATGCCGAACGTGACATCCCACTACTGGCGGCTCCAAAGGGTGGGCGATGATACACCATCCATCCTTTCCTCCGTCACGCACGATCGACGCATGCGTCACAGAGGTGACGGGGCCGATCGTGCCGGCGAGGCGAGGTCGTCTCACCGCAGGGCCCGCCACCACGCTCATTGTCGCGCGTGCATTGTTACACCGCACTGTGCTGCTGCCGCCGCTCATGCAGAAGACAAAACACTGAGCCCGCGGCTGGGTGATGACGTGGGCGGGCTCCAGGGCAGGGCCGACCGACCGTCGACCACACGGTCGGAAGGCTAGCCGGTGACAGATGTGTTGTTGCCTGCATTCAATCGCAGAGAAATGGACTCCGCCCTACGTTTGTTTATCGTGATGATAAGTTGTTTGGTTTATTTTATCGACCACAGTGAGTGCAAGCTGATCAAAACCAAAGGTACCAAACAATGTTAGGATTCAATGAACGACAGGGTCCCAGCGTCGCCAGCCTTGAGCGTCGAACTGTCCGCCTAGGTTGCCCAGGTCTGTGAGCTTTGAGGCAGCCGTTGATCGGCTGCGTGCCTGGGGGCTGAGTGGCAGCCGTTGGTCGGCGCTGCGCACCTGCCGCCAGCACCGCTCACGCCGAGACCTCTGCGCATCAGCCGCGGTCCAGCACGGCCCGATCACACACGTCACCCAGACGACGCGTTGGGAGACACAGAAAATTGACCAATTAGATCTGCTCAGTCCCACGCCGGCCTGGGAGACAATGTCCTTTATCATCGCTCTAATATCCCCGGCGACTTACAATGCGCCACCGTTTGTGTAATGATAGTCACGCAGCATGCGACCATGCACGAATCTAGGCGTGGGCACAAAGGGTCGGTTTAGTCTTACGTTGATGACAGTCGCAACGGCATTGAGGATGGTCAGAGGTCAGCGCTTCGTGCAGCCTCGACCGCAGGCATTTACTTATTGTTCCGGCCGAAAAGTAAGCAGGGAGATTTGGTTGTTTGGGGTTCGTGTCTGTTGCAGAGGCGGAGTAAATATAAACAAAATGGCAACACGCGATGTGATTAAGAAATACTTTTGGCGCCTGGTACCGTGTTATTTTTGCTATTGATAGCGAGCTCTGATAGATACATCGAGTATGCTTTATCTAACAATTTGTGACGTACTGTATTTGTTCTCAGCATCCCTTGGCGGTACTTTACAAACACCATCCACAGCATTCCTTGAAGGTAGGTTTTTGTCATGTTGCATCTGTGGCGTCACTGGCATTCCCAATGCCGAAATGGTGAGGTCGCTAGCGATTTATATTGCTACCGCCAACAGGGTAAGCGTTTTCTCACGCGAATATCCCCAACGTGGCCACATAATTTGAAAGTTAGAACGAGCATACTTCGGAAACGTGCATGTGTTGCACAGCTGATGATCTACTACCGCAAATGGAAAATGTAATTTCCACGGCGCAAATGAACCAGAACTCGGCGGAAGAAAACATGGTTGGGTGTGACTGTGGATGAGTTTCTATCACACACATCTACCAGATTACATCCAAAATAAAGAGATTAAATGAGCAAACGCTGCCCACCCACGACCGCCTGCGTGCAGCGGCTCGCTAGCCGGTCGGCTCACCTGAGCCCAGGTACGAGAAGAGCGTGACGACCAGCAGCCACATGTCGGCGCCCAAGGTGGCGATTCCACACAACACGCCGCAGCCTTGCCGCGCTCTCGTCACCGTCCAGCTCACTCGGAGCGCACCACCGCGTACGCCCCCCCTTCGGCACCGGGAGCCCACTGGCGGCCGGCGGCCGGTGTCGGCGCTGTGAATGAGTGCCGCCCGCGCCGCCCACCAATCAGCGGCCCGCGCCGGCTCTCACCTGCCAGTCGCGCCGGGCGCCGGCCGCGACACGCGCGTGCCTGCGACCAGCGGCAGAGCGGGGGCGCTCAGACGGCAGTGGTGGCAGAGCGGGGGCGCGCAGACGGCAGCGGTGGCAGAGCGGGGGCGCTCAGACGGCAGCGGTGTTAGAGCGGGGGCGCGCAGATGGCAGCGGCGGCAGAACGGGGGCGCTCAGACGGCAGCGGCGGCAGAGCGGGGGCGCTCAGACGGCAGCGGTGGCAGAGCGGGGGCACTCAGACGACAGCGGTGGCAGAGCGGGGGTGCTGCTCAGACGACAGCGGTGGCAGAGCGAGGGTGCTGCTCAGACGACAGCGGTGGCAGAGCGGGGGTGCTGCTCAGATGGCAGCGGTGGCAGAGCGGGGGCCACTCAGACGACAGCGGTGGCAGAGCGGGGGTGCTGCTCAGACGACAGCGGTGGCAGAGCGGGGGGTGCTGCCTCAGACGGCAGCGGTGTGTTAGAGCGGGGGGCGCGCAGATGGCAGCGGCGGCAGAACGGGGGCGCTCAGACGCCAGCGGCGGCAGAGCGGGGGCGCTCAGACGGCAGCGGTGGCAGAGCGGGGGCACTCAGACGACAGCGGTGGCAGAGCGGGTGGTGCTGCTCAGACGACAGCGGTGGCAGAGCGGGGGTGCTGCTCAGACGACAGCGGTGGCAGAGCGGGGGTGCTGCCTCAGATGGCAGCGGTGGCAGAGCGGGGGTGCTGCTCAGATGGTAGCGGTGGCAGAGCGGGGGTGCTGCTCAGACGACAGCGGTGGCAGAGCGGGGGTGCTGCTCAGACGACAGCGGTGGCAGAGCGGGGGTGCTGCTCAGATGGCAGCGGTGGCAGAGCGGGGGTGCTGCTCAGATGGTAGCGGTGGCAGAGCGGGGGTGCTGCTCAGATGGCAGCGGTTGGCAGGGCGAGGGTGCTGCTCAGATGGCAGCGGTGGCAGAGCGGGGGTGCTGCTCAGATGGCAGCGGTGGCAGAGCGGGGGTGCTGCTCAGATGGTAGCGGTGGCAGAGCGGGGGTGCTGCTCAGATGGTAGCGGTGGCAGAGCGGGGGTGCTGCTCAGATGGCAGCGGTGGCAGGGCGAGGGTGCTGCTCAGATGGCAGCGGTGGCAGAGCGGGGGTGCTGCTCAGATGGCAGCGGTGGCAGAGCGGGGGTGCTGCTCAGATGGTAGCGGTGGCAGAGCGGGGGTGCTGCTCAGATGGTAGCGGTGGCAGGGCGAGGGTGCTGCTCAGATGGTAGCGGTGGCAGGACGGCAGCGGTTGGCAGAGCGGGGGTGCTGCTCAGATGGCAGCGGTGGCAGAGCGGGGGTGCTGCTCAGATGGTAGCGGTGGCAGAGCGGGGGTGCTGCTCAGATGGTAGCGGTGGCAGAGCGGGGGTGCTGCTCAGATGGCAGCGGTGGCAGGGCGAGGGTGCTGCTCAGATGGCAGCGGTGGCAGAGCGGGGGTGCTGCTCAGATGGCAGCGGTGGCAGAGCGGGGGTGCTGCTCAGATGGTAGCGGTGGCAGAGCGGGGGTGCTGCTCAGATGGTAGCGGGTGGCAGAGCGGGGGTGCTGCTCAGATGGCAGCGGTGGCAGAGCGGGGGTGCTGCTCAGATGGCAGCGGTGGCAGAGCGGGGGTGCTGCTCAGATGGTAGCGGTGGCAGAGCGGGGGTGCTGCTCAGATGGTAGCGGTGGCAGAGCGGGGGTGCTGCCTCAGATGGCAGCGGTGGCAGAGCGGGGGTGCTGCTCAGATGGCAGCGGTGGCAGAGCGGGGGGTGCTGCTCAGATGGTAGCGGTGGCAGAGCGGGGGTGCTGCTCAGATGGCAGCGGTGGCAGAGCGGGGGTGCTGCTCAGATGGCAGCGGTGGCAGAGCGGGGGTGCTGCTCAGATGGCAGCGGTGGCAGAGCGGGGGTGCTGCTCAGATGGTAGCGGTGGCAGAGCGGGGGTGCTGCTCAGATGGCAGCGGTGGCAGAGCGGGGGTGCTGCTCAGATGGCAGCGGTGGCAGAGCGGGGGTGCTGCTCAGATGGCAGCGGTGGCAGAGCGGGGGTGCTGCTCAGATGGTAGCGGTGGCAGACGGCAGCGGTGGCACGCCCGAGGGCGCGACTTTATAGCAGCGAAGGTTACGTAAGGCTTCATGGCCAAGCTCCGTATATTGAGATAGCAATCTGCGGCGCCTCGGAGTCGCAGATCGTGCGTTATACGTATACATCAAGAACGCCTGCGTGTCTAAATATGGGCAAGAAGCAGAATTAGGTTATTCGGCCCAAGAAGGTACATAGCATGCAGCAAAGCGCATTTGGACATTATTCCGTTGCATTGTTGGGGCCCATTTTTTTCATACGAACCCCGTCGAGCACGCCAACCACATGTTTTCGAGAACTGCCCGCTGGTCAGGCATGCGACATTGCCGACAGCTCGTGGACCGTTGCTAAGCGTTGCTGTGTAATCAACCACGACTAGCATGTAAACAACCACACTTCTTCGCCTCACGGCCGGGCATGAAATGTATTTTGGCTGCGACGTCACAGGTGAGTCAGGTAGGCACCTCATATATTGAATGGGCGTGCACGAACTAGGGAATGGGCTTCCATTTGCCAATGACAAATGGCCCCCAGTGGGCAGCGCTGACGCATTGCGGGTGAGGGATAGCGTCAGCAGCAGTGGCAGCATCTCACGGCAGCGGGGCGCGCCGGGGGTGGGCCTCTGGTCAGATCTCCAGCAGCAGCGGCAGCACCAGCAGCAGCGGAGCATGCCGGGGATGTCCCCAGTCAGGTCTCCAGCAGGCTAGGCAAGATGCCTAGACCAGGTGAGGTACGGTGGCAGAGGCTGGGCCAATTAGGGGTTGGGTAAATTAATCACGGGCAACCCAGCCAGGTGCATGCTGACAATCAACAATCGTTGCTTCCTAGGGCTCTGTCAGCTTAGAGTCACACCTATAAAAGTGCCGGGCGGCAGCCCGACGCTGGCACAAATCCTCTTTCCTCTCAAGTAACTTAGCTGCGCTCCATCATCCCCCCAGCACTTCAGCATGTGCGTATGCTCCGGTACAAGTCAATAGCATGGGCCGAACCAGGCTTCATCCCAGGACATCTGGTCCCGCCCCGCTGACCGGAAGAGAGGGACCAGACCCTTCCAGCATACAACCCAGGCCAGGCCAGACAGTACCGGACGAGAGGGACCAGACCCTTCCAACAGACAACCCAGGCCAGACCAGACAGCACCGGACGGGAGGGACCAGACCCCACCACCAGACAACCCAGGCCAGGCCAGACAGTACCGGACGAGAGGGACCAGACCATTCCAACAGACAGCACAGGCCAGACTAGACAGCACCGGACGAGAGGGACCAGACCCCACCAGTAGACAACCCAGGCCAGACCAGACAGCACCGGCCGAGCGACACCATACAATGCAAATGAACGAGACTGGGCCGTCATCGAACAAGTGGTGCCGATCCATCAGCGGAGGAGCGGTGCTGGAGCCCGTCACGGCACGGGTGGTACCAGCCCGTCACGGCACGAGCGGTACCAGCCCGTCACGGCACGAGAGGTACCAGCCCGTCACGGCACGAGCGGTACCAGCCCGTCACGGCACGAGCGGTACCAGCCCGTCACGGCACGAGCGGTACCAGCCCGTCACGGCACGAGAGGTACCAGCCCGTCACGGCACGAGCGGTACCAGCCCGTCACGGCACGAGCGGTACCAGCCCGTCACGGCACGAGAGGTACCAGCCCGTCACGGCACGAGCGGTACCAGCCCGTCAGAGCACGAGCAGGCCCGTCACCGGACGGGAGCCGGTATGCCGGCACGGCAGACAGCGGCGGCCGAGCGCCGCCGAACGCTCGCCGCACACACCGGCCGGTGAAAGTGCGGTCGCGCCGTCGCTGCGGCGGCGGCGGCGGCGGCGGCGGCCGTCCGTGCGGGCCGTGCGCAAACAGGAAGCGGCTGCGGCGGCCGCGCCGGGCGGCATGTGCCGGTCGCCGCGCCGGAATGCAGTAATTGGCGCGTCGACCGCGCCGAACACAGGGCTGTGGCCGTGCGCGGGGTCACCGAGACGGAGGGCTGTGGCCGTGCGCGGGGTCACCGAGACGGAGGGCTGTGGCCGTGCGCGGGGTCACCGAGACGGAGGGCTGTGGCCGTGCGGGGTCACCGAGACGGAGGGCTGTGGCCGTGCGGGGTCACCGAGACGGAGGGCTGTGGCCGTGCGGGGTCACCGAGACGGAGGGCTGTGGCCGTGCGGGGTCACCGAGACGGAGGGCTGTGGCCGTGCGCGGGGTCACCGAGACGGAGGGCTGTGGCCGTGCGCGGGGTCACCGAGACTGAGGGCTGTGGCCGTGCGCGGGGTCACCGAGACGGAGGGCTGTGGCCGTGCGGGGTCACCGAGACGGAGGGCTGTGGCCGTGCACGGGGTCACCGAGACGGAGGGCTGTGGCCGTGCGGGGTCACCGAGACGGAGGCCTGTGGCCGTGCGGGGTCACCGAGACGGAGGGCTGTGGCCGTGCGGGGTCACCGAGACGGAGGCCTGTGGCCGTGCGGGGTCACCGAGACGGAGGCCTGTGGCCGTGCGGGGTCACCGAGACGGAGGGCTGAGGCCGTGCGGGGTCACCGAGACGGAGGGCTGAGGCCGTGCGGGGTCACCGAGACGGAGGGCTGTGGCCGTGCGGGGTCACCGAGACGGAGGGCTGAGGCCGTGCACGGGGTCACCGAGACAATGACTTGTGACTGTTGTAAGGGTCAACGAAACACATAGCCGTGCCCGTGACTACTGGCAAGGATGAGCAATGATGTCTACCACAGCCTGTGTCTGGAGTGTCTGAGATAGGATGGAGTGGGGGCTCAGACAAGGTGGACAAAGGGGCAAGGTTCTATTTTCCCTTAAGTCCCGAGGGTACCTTTGGGCCCCTCGGGG